CCGCACCGCCGATGATGGCTGCGCGTGCAGCTGGCTCAACCCGCGCAGGCAGTGGCAGTGGCAGCAGCAGCGGCGGCGGCGGTGGCGGTGCTGGCGTGAGGACGCGTGGGGGTGCACGGTCCAAGTCCACACGACCACGATCGACGATGAAGCCGAGGGATCCGTTTGCACCTGCAGACCCCTTTGCCCCCGCTGACCCGTTCTCCATACCAGGTCTGTGTGTGTGTTTGGGGGGGGGGGGGGAGGGTGTTTCTGGATCGGTTGGCATTGTATATCGGCCTCATAGTCTTCTCACTCACACTCGTTCACTCACTCACACGTTGTCTCCTGTCTTCTTTGCGTCACTAATGCAGGTGCTTCGCCCTGGAAGTGATCAGGCTCTTTGTTCGTTGCCATGACATGCCACTCTGTGTGTGCGTGTGTGTGTGTGTGTGTGTGTGTGTGTGTGTGTGTGTGTGTGTGTGTGTGTGTGTATGTGTGTGTGTGTGTGCGTGTGTGTGGTTCAGCGTCATCGTTGCGTTCTGCCTGCCTGTGCGCTTCCCGTTGATTGTTACGAATATCTTCCAGTACTTTTCATCAATACCAACAACCCACGACGCCAACCATCAAAGTCGTCAGCAGCAAACGCAATCACAGCCAACAACCATCGCTAGCTTGCTTCCTGGCTCGCTTGCTTGCGCCACCAATCCAACAACCAAGCACACGCACACGCACGCTCCGACAATGGGGCTCACGTCTTCAACGGAATCCTACCTGCCGGATGAGCAGCTGGAGGAGTACAAGAAGCTTGATTGTACGTGCTGTTGCGGGTTGTCGTGATCATGGTGGGCCTGACTACTCGCACAAACACACACACGCGCTCACTTGCATGTGTGTTGTTTGGTGGTGGTTGCTTCTTGGTATTCAGTCACGGTGCCGCAGATCCATAGACTATACCGCCGCTTCCAACGATTGGACAAGGAGCGCACCGGCTTTATCACGTTGGTCTCGGGATCAGAGAGTGACAAACAGAGAGACTGCGTGTGTGTGTGTGTGTGCACGGGCGTGTGTGCCTGTGTACCATCTGCTCAATTTCAACTCACACTCTACACACTCACACACACTCACGTACACACGCGCGCAGATTGGAGGAGCTGATGTCAATCCCAGAGCTGGCGATGAATCCTTTGGTGGAGCGCATCGCGGAGCTCTTCAACAGAGAGTGAGTCGTTGAAGGATTGGAATGCTGGTGTGTGTGTGTGTGTGTTTGTGTGTGTGCGCGCGATGGGATTGCATCTTGCGGTGCACAAACGCAGTAGTCTCAGATTCAACGACGGTGATGCATGCATGTTCCCTGTTTTCAAACTTCGATCTCTGACATCACTGGCCCACCGTTCCCCTTTGGTGTTCTGTGTGTCGTCGCACCCGTTCCCACACAGCCACAGCACAGATAAGACGGAGGACGGGCCGATTCACATTGACTTTAAGAAGTTCCTGAATACGCTCTCGGTGTTTCAGCCGATCACGGAGCGCCCCCGCGATCCAAACGAGGACGAGGCAACGCACAGAGACAAGATGGAGAAGAAGAAGCGCAAGAAACTGCAATGTGCGTGTGCGCGTGTTTGCATGCGTGTGCGTGCGTGTGCGTGTGCGTGCGTGTGTGCGTCATACAGCGCCTTACTCTCTTTTACACACCTACACATTCACACGTGCTCGCACACACGCACACACATCCATTCTCCTCGTCCTGCTTCCTTCCCTGCTGCCCTCACCCGTGCTGTATCTTCCATGTCCCGCCGTCACTTGTCGCGTTCCCGCGCATCAGTTGTGTTTCAGATCTACGACACCAAAGATGACGGCTTCATCGACGCAGAGGAGCTCTTCTCGGTACTGGATCGTATGTGTGTGTGTGTGTGCATGTGTTTGTTGAGTGTGTGGTGTGTGTGGTAGTTGAGTGAAGAGGGTCAGATGGGAGCGAGTGCGGAGGAATAGTAAACACATGTGTACATCACATGTCACATGCGGCTCATTCACACGCATGTCCTGCACGTCTCCTGTTGTTTTTTTTTCTTCTTCTTCTTCCTGCAGGTGCTGAAGATGATGGTGACAGATGGCATTACGGATGAGCAGCTGACGTTCATCGTGGATCAGACCATCAAGGAGGCGGACAGTCGCGGCGATGGTCGCATCTCCTTTGATGAGTTCTGCAGAATCCTGGAAAAGACAGACCTGCACCAGCGCATGGCCATTCGCTTCTAGCATGGGATGTGTTGCTGTGAGTGCGTGTGTGTGTTTCTGTGTGTCCGCGTTGTGGACGGTGTAAATGACTTGATTCTTGTAGCAGGTTCGATGCGATGCTCTGCAGTGTGAAGGGGCGTGTGGGTGTGAACGAGCGAGTAAACGAAGCAAGGGAGTGACATCCAATCAACATGTCAAGCACCACACACACACACACACACACACACACACACACAGACACAGACACACACACACACAGAGACACACACACACACACACACACAGACACAGACACACACACACACACACACAGACACACACACACACACACACACACACACACACACACACACACACAGACACCCTGTGCTGCGATAGTTAGATGAAAACATTCACAGATTGTCGACCTTTGTTTGTGCACGAAGGACTTGGAAGACGACAACCAAACGATGGTTGGCAAAGTTGGCAAAGTTGTCGCTGTCGGTGGCGGTGGTGGCAGCAATGGGGTGTTCGATCATGTGGAGCACAACGACGGAAGCCGGTACAAGGGGGACCTCGTCGGTGGCAAGAAGCACGGCTTTGTGAGTTGGCTTGCTTCGGGTTTTGTTTGCCTCATCTATCTCAGTTGTCTCGTTAACATTGTGTATCCTGTGTATCCTGTGTATCCTGTGCATCGCTGCGTATCCTGTGCATCCTGTTTATGCTGTGCATCCTGTGCTTAGCTGCGAGGGGGTGCTCAGCGCCTGTGCATCTTGTGAATGTGTTTGCGTTGTCCGTGTTGTTTGCGAAACACTTTTGCGTTCTCTCGTGTGTTGAATAATGCTGACGCTCCTTCTTCGTGGCTTCAGGGCGAGTACATCTGGCCAGATGGGTCCATGTACAGGGGGGAGTGGAAAGATAACAAGATGCACGGCGCTGGCGTTCTTCACTATGAGGGTGGGTTGCCCCCATCACAGGCTCGTACATGTGCCGCACAACCTTCGTAACCGCCTTGTTTGCATGTGTGCCCTTGAGATGTGTCCTTGCAAGCTCACCTCAAACACACACAAAACACACACATGCGCACATGCACACATGCACACATATGCACACATGCACACATGTAGATGGATCCTGCTATGAAGGCGAGTGGAGCGAGGACCAAAAGCATGGCTTTGGCACCATGAACTTTGCCAACGGGGACCAGTATCAGGGCCAGTGGCATATGGGCTTGATGCACGGTCACGGGACCATGAGCTACGCTGACGGCGCCGTCTACGAGGTGCACGCATGAGTGTGTGTGTGTGTGTGTTTGCATGTGTTTGCATGTGTTTGCATGTGTTTTCATGTGTTTGCATGTGTGTGTTCAGCGTTAGTGCTTGTACTTGGCTGTGCTGAATGGCCTTTGTGGCGCACATGCCGCTTTGACGCGACGCGATGAGTCGCTGGCTCTGTGGTCGATCTGTCAAGCTGATGTGATGTAACCTCGTTTACTTCCACTCTTGTTCCCATTCACGCAATCTCCAACCGTGCCAAACACCTTCCACCAGGGCTCGTTCAAGGAAGGGCGAAAGCATGGCGTGGGGCAGCACACGTTCGCGTCTGGACGCGTGTGGGCCGGCGAGTTTGTGGAAGGCCGACAGCACAAGCAGCACGCAGCACGTGAACCAGATGCACCCAACGATGACGACGATGACACTGCACCTGCGTTCAGCTCGAACGTCTGACTTCTGTCTGACGCATGCGTGTGTCTAAGGATGCAAGTGTGTGTGTGTGTGTGTGTGTGTGTGTGTGTGTGTGTGTGTGTGTGTGTGTGTGTGTGTGTGTGTGTTGACATGCATGCCCGTGCATGGAACGCTACACCCCCTGCGTCTCCAGCAACTGTGTGAATGAGCGAGAGTGTATGTGTGTGTGGTGTTGTTCATTCGCTTGTGTTATCCCCTCGAGTTGTGTGCGTTGTGCCTGCACTGTTGATTCGGTGGCAAGCTACTCGTCCCCTTTTTCGTGTTCTCCCACCTGTTACAATCCTCTACTGTCTCTCGTGTGTGTTTGCACCTGCGATGAGGTTCTGCTGGTTGGAACTGTCATGCGCAGTGTCTGCCTGCGTGTTGCATCAGTTGATGTCCTTGAATGTATGCACGTGCGTGTGTGCGTGTGTGCCATCTGCGGCTGTCACAAACAGTGTTGATCGCTGTTGTGCTGCTTCTGGTCCGAATAAAGGCAACCGCACCCCAGTCACGCATTCACGCATTCACACACACACACACACACACAGACACACACACACACACACACACACACACACACACACACCAGGCCGTTGCGAGTTGTAGAGGGTTTCTTGTACCTGTGTGCAATATATGCACACGCAAACAGAATGGGGAGTGAAACTAAGGTGATGAGGAGAAGCGGGGAGATATGCGACAATAAACCAAAACACAACGAGAGAAAGAACAATCACAGTGGCAATAACAGTGACAGTTGTGCACGCAGACTATCAAGTGTTGTCATGCGACATGTGCACGCGTGCCTGCAAGCAATGAAAGCATGCTAGTGCGCAAGACAGTCAGGTCAACAAGGATCTCAAAGAGAGGGAAATGACAAGAACGGCAAGGGAAAGTTGTGAAATGAAGAAACAGTGGCAGGTGTGAACAAGGAAAGAAAGGTTCGCAAAGACAAAGACACATGCAGACACAGACAGACACAGACACAGACACACACACACACACACACACACACACAGACAGGTACACAGCGCGAGCAATCACACGTCCGGTGGCCGCGGCGGCGAGAGCGACGTCTTGAACGGGCTGTCACCGAGCCGGTCCGGGTCAAACAGGACTGGCGATCGACCCTGAAGTACATAGTCGTTGCTCGTTGCCGCCCCCATGTACAGCGATGGCGGGGTCAGCTCGAGCCCTTGCGGCGGCGTGCCAAACGCGAGTGATGCGCCAAACGCCGTGTCCATGCCACCCGATACGCCCATACCGCGACCAGGCGTTGTCTGCATGAAGTTGGGTGACAGCGGCGTGCCCGGCATCATGCGAGCGGCAGCGTTGGCGTGTGGCGGCGTGGCAGGTGGAGGCATTGTTGTTGGTGGTGGTACGGCTGCAAGTGACGTCCCCACTGTGGATGAGGGTGGTGGCTGTGACGACGATGGTTGGAACGCTTGCTGCTGTTGTTGTGGATGTTGCAACTGTTGTGTTGCTGCTGACGTCGGCGGCTGTACACTGTAATATGCCTGCATGTGTTGCTGCTGTTGCTGCTGCTGCTGCTGTTGGTGGTGGTGAGGCTGTGGCGCCATCTGAGCGGCGTATTGTTGCGTCGTCGAAACCCCGCTTCCGTTCGAGCCCTGCTCATGATGATGATGGTTGTGTGTGTGTGTGTGTGTGTGTGTGTGTGTGTGTGTGTGTGTGTGTGTGTGTGTGTGTGTGTGTGTGTGTGTGTGTGTGTGTGTGTTTGGGGGGGGGGGTCAACAATGTAAGCAGCGCGTTACTCAAACCACTCAATACCACTCAATACCACTCACGAGCACACTCAACACCATGTTCGTTGATAGTGACAGGACCTGCCACCAACAGCACGTACAAAGAGCCGGTCAAAGTCGAGGCCTGGGTGGAGCGCCGCCTTCAAGTGCTGCGGATCAAGACACCACAGGCCCTGCAGTCACGCAGTCACGCAGTCACGATTGGAGATTGGAGGTTTGATGTGTCAATGAGGACCGGGGGTTTTCAGATGATAATGCGTGTGCGCATGTGCGTGTGTCTGTGCCTGTGCACCTCACACGCATGCACACACTGACACTCGCCCACACCACCACCTCTGCTTTTCGCGCCCCACCCCCCCCCCCCCCTCGCCACACACCAGCTCCTCTGCGCGTTCGATCAGGAAGATGAGAATCTCGTCAAAGACGAGCCGACAGAGGTGGTACGATCCAAACGACTCTGCACTCCGCAGCGTCAAATCTCGCATGAGCGCGCTGCTGTACGCCGTCCACACGCGCACAAACGACCGCGCCTGCACACGCATGATTGTGTGTGTGTGCATTGTCGATGTGAGGTACATGCACAACAGTGGCAAGAGGAAGGCACAGCCTCCCCTCTCCCACTACACCACTCCACGACAAGTCATGTCAACACAAGTTTCAGTGCATACGTGCATGTGTGTGAGTACGCACGTGTGCGATTGGATCTGAGACGCCCTTGATGTCTTCCCACACGAGCTGCTGCAGCCACGCCGCCCATACATCCATCGACACCTGCACGCAGCACACGCCCAATCGAAACGCAAGGGTTGTGGGCGAACGTTGTACGTGGTGTACGTGGTGTGCGTTTGTGTTTGTGTTCCTGGATGAGCGTGTGGTTGGATGTCAACAAAGCTCTTCAACTCGCACAGCACCACCCACATGTGCCTCACTCTTCGTTCCTCATCCACAGACACAGACACAGACACAGACACAGACACAGACACATGTGTATATATACATCTATACACACTCTCACACCCACACACAGACACACACACACAGACCCACACACCTTGTTTGTGAGCTGGCGTTCAAAGGCGTCAAGGACGTGCTGTGGATTCAAGCGGCGACACCGCCCAAGCATGCTCACTTGCATCTGCAGTCCACAAGATGGTGGTGGTGGTGGTGTTGGTGGTTGATGCGTGAATGTGTGTGTGTGTGTGATGCAAAATAGTGATGTTGTGATACAACTTGTGTGCTTGTGTGCAAACACATGTGCAAAAGACATCCAAACATGCACACACATGTGTGTGCTGGCGTCAACCTTGATAGAGTCGAAGGAGATACATCTGAGGTCGCGCACCATCACCTGCACAGACCGGTGGTCGTCCAGCACAGCCTTAGACGCCTGGTGGTGATGGTGGTGGCGATGGCGAGCCATGGTTGTGAGGCCTCAAGTACATGTGGCATTCCCTCACACACACACACACACACACACACACACACATTGTTTCCCGTCCTTTCCTCTTCCCATCCATCACTGCATGCGAGAAAGGTGTGTGTGTGTGTGTGTGTGTGTTGACGTACGCAGCAGAGGTGGTTGAGGGATGTGTAGCGGCGGAGGAGGTGGGCGAGGTTGCGCACTTTCGTCGCCTTTGCCTGCACCAGCGACGCAGGCAGCCCCTCCAGTGCAGTCTGAATGTCGTCATCGTCGTCGTGGTGATGGTGATGATGGTGATGATGGTGATGATGATGATGATGATGATGATGATGATGATGATGATGATGATGATGATGATGATGATGATGATGATGATGATGATGATGATGATGATGATGATGATGATGATTGCATTAATTGGACGCATGTGAGTTGCTCTTCACGACGGAAGAAACCCGGGGGGGGGGAGCTTTTGCGCAAGGAAATCAGGGAACACACACACACACACACAGGCACACACACATGCACACAGTCGCCGCCACCATGGACACGACCTTGATCCAGGGCTCGAGGCGCTTCCCGAAGAAGCGAATCTGCTTGACGAGATGCTCTGGAATCGGCTGCAGCACATTCCCAACCAACATCTGCACGGTGGTGGTGGTGGCGACGATGGTGGCGACGATGGTGATGGTGGTGAGCGCGGAAGACGCATATGCGTGCACTTGCACGTGCACAAGTACATGCACAGGATGCACGTGCACAAACACACGCGCAAACAGACGAGCACGGGCTGAGCAGCAGACCTTCTTGAGTGTGTTGTGAAAGATGTCGTCACATCGCAGTACAGTCTGCAATCCGGCCTGGAAGCACCGACGCCGCGGGAGAGGGGATGATGAGGCATTTGCATCACGCACACCGCAAACACATCAGCACACACACACACACGCACACACGCACGCACACACGCACACACAATGCACCACTCGCCAAGTTGTTGCGTGCACACCAAAGTTGCACAAGAACGGGGGCAATGTGCACGCATCAATGCACATGCACATGCACATGCACATGCACACGTGGTGTGAACAGCCATCGCATCACAACGCATGCTGCTGCACCTCTGTGCCCAGGACGGTTTTGAAATGCGCGGCAATGCTACCCCAAAACTGGTTCCATATCTGCTGCACGCGGTCAAACTCTCCGCTGGCAACGGCGCGGAGCACCTGATATGTGTGTGTGTGTGTGTGTGTGTGTGTGTGTGTGTGTGTGTGTGTGTGTGTGTGTGTGTGTGTGTGTGTGTGTGTGTGTGTGTGTGTGTGTGTTAGTGTTGGGGTGCAGCGTATCGTAGGTATTGTGCATGACACGTGGAAGCTGGTTCGAACATGCGCATGCGATGGCAAGAAAAGACGCACATCCAAGATACCCCCGCCCCACACAACTCCAAGCAGTGATCGACCACCACTGCAAGAACATAACAGCAAACTTCACACCTCTTTGCAGTTTGCGTGGTACGGTTTGGAGAAGTCCTCCTTGGCAGAAAACCCTGTGATTGGCGACAGCAGCAGTGCACATGTCAGTGAGACCACAAGACATTTGCGCAGCCCCTTCGCATGCAACCACAACCGCCATCACCAACAACACCCTTACCACCACCCCGCTTTCAACCACACCCGATCACATCACTCCTACCACCACCAAGCCACCATCAAGCCATCACCCGTCATTGGTACCTTGTGACACCATGCTGGGGAACGCAGGCAGCTCGACCTGCGTGTTGCAGTACTTGGACTGAAGTACGGTGATGGTCATGGCAGGTTGGGATTTCAGGTGAGCAAAAGGCGTTGTAAGCACACTCACTCACTCGCTCACACACACACACACACACACACACACACACACACACACACACACACGGAAACACGCGCGCGCTCACTCGCACGCACGCACACGCACGCACGCACACACACACAAGCACACGCACACACACACAAGCACACGCACACACACACACACACACACACACACACACACACACACACACGGAAACACTTACTCACTCACTCGCTTACACACACACACACGCACGCGCACACACTAACTCACACACGAGAACCAATGCAGACAAGTGCCCACTCACCAGTTCGTCTGCATGTGGAGGTCTGTCCTTATCGTTTGTGTGTGTCGGCGCTACTTTCTTCTTTGGCTGTGCACACGTTCACAGGGGGAGGGGGCAGGTGTTGTGGCACAACGTGAGATGAGTTGGCAGTGGTGGACACAGCAGTTGGGGTGTGGACAGGAAGCGAGGGCCATATGACCATGTAAGTACAAGATCGCACAGTACAGAGACAACACACGAGCTGCATCAGCACCTTTTGCGTCGACTTTGCTCTGAAGCGGTGGTGTGCTCCGCCAATCTATTCAAACACACACACACACACACACACGTTCGCGTTAAGGACAGTGGGCAACGTACTCGTTGTCTCGCGTGCATGAACACACGCACGTGCACACGGTAATGAAGCCCAACACATCCCACCCACGCACACACATACACACACACGCGCGCACACACACACACACACACGCACGCACGCACCTGCGTTTTGTCAAAGTAAAGGCGCGATGTTTCCTTGACGCGTATGCCGTAGTAGTGGTACTTGCTGTTGCCACGCGTGCCCAGCCGGCGCGTCTTCATCATCGTGGCGGCGGTAGCGACGACGGCAGTAATAATGATGATAACGATCATGATGATGATGATGATGAGGAGGAGGGGAAGGAGCATGATGACCATGATGATGAGGAGGAGGAGGAGGAGGGGAAAGCATGGGAGCGGATGCACTCCCACAACATTCAAGCGCACAAGCACAGAGCATATCGACACACACTCTCTCGACCAGCCACCACAATCGCCCCCATTATTTCGCCAGCACCATCGTCGCGTCTCACCTTGAGGTTTGGGAAGACGGATCGGATGAGCTTGCCAAAGCTGGCCTGGTTGACGGGGTCCTGGCCCATCTCCTTGCAGTGGTCGATGTAGTGCTAGGGGCGGCACGTGTGGTTGCGAGCGCAAAGTGAGCACGCAAGGGAGGCAACTGCACACACGCACACAGGCTCTGTCGCGTACTCTCTCAGCCACCACTCCCAGGTCACCAGCATGTTGAAACGTCACACACACACACACACACACAAGAGCAAGCTCATACACACACAGAGCACACACACACACACAAGCACAAGCACAAGCACATTGCCAACCTTGTAGAGCGGCTCGCGACCAAGCGACACGTCTTCGCACGCTTCAAAGTTCTCATGCAGCCAGACCACGGTTGCGGGCGCGGTGCGGCTGATGTTGTGTGTATATGGGTTCGACTGGTTGTCGATTGACCACAGATAGCGCAGCAACGAGAAACGACGCGAGGCAACGACGCGAGGCAACGACGCGAGGCAAGGACGTGAGGCGACGATCAACCCAATGACAGCTGCACACAACTGCAGAGAACAGAACACATCGCCACCGCACGAACAAACGCGTCACACACACACACACACAAATACACACACATACCCGCACAGAACCACACAAACACACACAAACACATGCACACACGACTCATTACTCACTGGTCGGGCTGGTTTTGAGCTTGAGGTTGTCGAAGGCGTTGAAGTTGCTGCTGGGTTTGCCACACCAGGCGTGGCAGCTGAGGTGGTGCCAGCGTGGTTGTACTGGACAGCTGGCTGAGGTGTGTGTAGTTGTGATTGGTGTGGATGTGCTGGCTGCTGTGTTGGCTGTGTCATGGGCATTGAGGTGCCGGCTTGTGGTTGTCCCGGTGCCATGTTCATGACATTGCCTTGCACGGGTGCTGCAGAGCTCGGCACCCCCTGCGTGTGCATGTGTGCATGTGTGCATGTGCATGTGTATGTGTGTGAGTGTGTGTGTGCATGTGCATGTGCATGTGCATGTGTGAGTGTGTGTAATCCGTTCATGTGCGCCAGCAAAGAACATGACAAACAGCGGAGCAATCAACTGCTGCTGCGAGCAGTGCCAAAACTCATTGTCTGACATGAGTGCATGTTAGAAACAGCGCATCCAACCCACCTGTTGCTGTGACATGGCCCTCTTTGTTGTCTCCTCACACAGACACAGACACAGACACAGACGCAGACACTCTCTCGCACTCCTTGGTCTTGATTCGCCGTCCCGCACACCCGCCTGTCCTCCTCCGCGCTGTCCTCCCCTCTGTGTCACTGCAGTGGTGTCTCCCAACACACGCACACACACACACCAGCAGAGAGCCGCAGCCGTTTCACAACAACTTCCCCAACAACCAACAGCGGCGACCGGCAGTCGTCTTTTTTCAGTCCGACACGATAAGATGCGATTCACAACCGTCACGGATAGTTGTTGGATATCTTTGAGGAACTATCGCGTTGTTTTCGTTTGGATGCGGAAGCTGCGACAATCTGATGAAATCGTTCGTAAATACTCCATGCCTGACAGTTTTCCTTTTTGTTTTTTCTTTCCTTCGCTGCCTCTCCCCAACAACAAACAGACGCAGACGCAGACAAGACGAATCTCACACACAACCGACAACCAGCTCCCCTCCTCCTTCCTTGCTTGCTCTTTTGTGTGCATATCAGCCAGCCGCCTTCCCTCTCTCTCCCTCTCTCTCTCTCTCTCGAAGCCGCACCCCCTTTGTTTCCTCACGCAACCGGTGTCGTCGTTCTCCTTCCACACGACCGACCACGTGACGCCTCCCCTGTGGTGGTCGCGCTTTCCCTCTTCCCACACTCTCCACATCGACATCACAAAACACAATCATGGCCTTTCCCATGGTACGGTGCACTACTGCAAGCACATGCACGAGAGAGAGAGAATGAGGGGGTTGGAATGGGGGGAATCGGTGTTGCTTGATGGCATGTGTTGCTTGGAGTCCTGGCATGCACTCAGCGTTGTGATTTGTATTTTTGTTTGTGTGGTTGAGATTTGAGCATCAAGTGCCCTCTCGTTAGTGTTGCGACGCTTGTCATCATGGATGGATGCCGATGGAGATGCTGATGGTGTTGCTGTTGTCGTACTGGTGGCTCATGCTCTGCGATGCCTCTTGGCTGCCTCTCTCCATCCCTCTTTGCGTGCATGCGTGCACCTCTACCCTTCCCCCACCCCTTGCCCCCCCCCCTTTTTTTTGTGTGTGTGTAGGACACAAGCAACCTGGAGGCCGACCTTCAGAAGTACCTTGCCGATCACAATGTTGAGGCGTTGTTGAAAGACATTGTCGTCAAGCTGTGCGTTGACAAGCCAGACGATGTGCTGGAGTACATCAAGAACCACGTCACAAAGCTCCAACAGCAGTCAAAGGGTGCGTATGTCAGAAAAACGCGTTTGTGTATGCGAGTGCA